CATTAATACACTAGCAAAAATCAAGCTAACATATTAAATGTGTCAAATATTGGCCTGTATCCAGTTAAGCTGATGTTTAAAAATTCATATATTAGAGTGACACTGTATCATTGTCATCCTGTTGTTCATAGATTTCCTCGAGCAGGCACCAGTAATGTCTCCTTCATCCTAGTCCTGAGATTTTAGAAAGTGCCACATTTGAGACTCTTTCAAGGTCAGGAGAATGAGACCCATCATTGTTACTGGTTTTTGGCATATTGAATATAGCACGGGGAGTTTGCCAGACTCTGTTGTGTGGGCAGGATACTTTTAGTAATCTGCCAGGTTTTCCAGAGTAAGAACTAGATAATAAGATGTCGCACGGCTGCAAATGTGGCCACACTCTTCCAGGAGCTGGGTTTTATAGTCTCTGGGTCTTGGCCATTGATGGGATTACACGGGGCCCGGGGGCAGTTGGTGAGTGTAACACCTACATACTGTAAGATGGGGGATCTGGGTGGAGGAGGCCCAGTCCCAATCCAAGCAGGTTTGGAGATCTACGCCCTGGTGAATCCCACACACCTGGGTTCCTCTGCCAGTTCTTTCATGAATGAGGCTCTTCCGAACGTGTGGGGAGTGGTCTTAAGCATGGCTGTGGCTAGAACTGAAGGTCTTCAGCTGCCGGGGCTCTGCTCAGGGTGTTAGAGTATTATAAAGTTTATTTATACATTTAAAGTTTATTTATACATTATAATTTAATAATTTTATAAGGTGCAGGGCTCGCCATTCCTAAACTTCTGCTTCCCTGCCACTGGGCAGTTGCCCTTCGCCTCAGGTCCTCAAAAGATCGTGCAGTGATGTTGCATGGGAGGCAGATGTGGTTTGCAAATGCCAACAGGAACACAAAAGAACAAGAAACGTTTCTCTTTCATCCCGGGTGTATGGTGGTTCCGTCTCCTCGCAGCCCCCCATTCCCTTAGCACGCTGAGGCCCCATTCCCCTTAAAGCTCCCCAGGGAAATGCGTGGCAAGAAAAGAAAGCTTGGCTTTGGTTATGCGCATTTATTTCATTCACAAATACTATAAATTCTAGTTTGAATATTGTTGAAAACACAATGAGTACACTCCTGTTTTTAGCTCTTTGTCCATTTTTATTTTCTTTTATTTTGTTTGGGGGCTACACCTGGCTGTGCTTGGGGCTTCTTCCTGGCTCTGTGCTCAGAAATCACTCCTGGCAGTGCCAGAGGATCAAATAGAATGCTGGGGATCAAAACTGATTTGGCTGCATGCAAAGTCTATCCTCCAGTCCCTTTTTATTTCTGATTTTGGACTCTAGTCTCCCCAATGAATAGCTCCTAATATTTAAATCACACTTTTCCAGTATATTCATGGAATGGATATCCACATTTTTCCAAGAATATTCAGAGTATTTCTCTTCCTCTGACAGTCTTTTGCCTGGGCTGAGGGGACATGGGCTCAGGGATTACTCCTGGCTCTGTGCTCAGGAATCTGTCCTGATGGGTCCGAGGGGACCCCACTAATCCACTTATAAGGCAAACTTCTTGACCAAGGCACTATCTTTCTGGCCCCCAAAAGTCACTGTTTTCTGATTCCTTTATTCTCTTCACTTCCTTTGGTGACTTTGTTTCCACATATACCCTCTTCCAGGAGAGAAGGATCAAATGGTTATCTTCTGGACAGGTTCCCTTCCTGTATTTTCAACTTGTGTATTCAGTTGCCTTTTAGTCATATAACCCTGTGTACAATAGACCCAAAGTACCCCATGGACGTCACAGAGCATGTTATCCCCGGATCAGCCACTCTCCATCCCGTCTATTTCCCAAGTCTCTAATCCCAGCAGACACAGTCACTAGCTCTCTGGCCTAGCTAGAGGGAGCATCAGCATGATGCTTGAACTATGTTTCTCTTCTGCTCTCTTGCCCCAACTGTCATCTCCCTTGTTCCCATCCCAACTGCTGCTGCTTTTCATTAAGTGCTGGCAATTTCTTTGTTTTTTTTTTGTAAGAAAAGATTTATTTAGACACAAGTTTAAGGGAATTAAAATGTGTGATTAATGACATCTGTTTTTTAGCATGATATCTAAAGTAACATTAATTAATGCATTCTATAAATTGCATGTTACAGTATAGTTTGCCTAAACAGCAGATCATGATCACGATCACGATCCTCCCGTTGTTCATCGATTTGCTCGAGCGGGCCCAGTAACATCTCCATCATCAGACTTGTTGTTACTGTGTTTGGCATATGAGTACGTCACGGGTAGCTTACCAGGCTCTGCCGTGCGGCGAGATACTCTCAGTAGCTTGCCGGACTCTCCGAGAGGGGCAGAGGAATCGAACTCGAGTTGGCCATATTGGCTGTGTGCAAGGCAAACACCCTACCGCTATGCTATCGCTCTAGCCCAAACAGCAGAATAAATTAAAATTTTTCTTAAAACTTTATATATCACGAATCACGAATCACGACCATCCTGTTATTCGTTGATTGCCTCGAGCAGGCCCCAGTAATGTCTCCTTCATCCTAGCCCTGAGATTATATTCAATGCTCTTTAGGAGAATGAGACCCATTATTGTTACTGGTATTTGGCATGTTGGATACGCCACGGGGAGTTTGCCAGACTCTGCCGTGTGGGCAGGCTACATTCAGTAGCCTGCCAGTTTGTCCAAAGTAGGAATGAGATAATAGGATGTCATAATAAGATGTCGCGCTTTATATAAAGCTTTATATATGATGTAAAGCTTTATATATGAATACATAGAATATAGCAGATTATATAACTGACCTTAATTTTATCCCATTTTTTGCTGAATTTTAGCCTTATTTAAAAATCACAATTACGTTTTTCAGTATTGTGAATAACCTGAGAATTGTGATGATGTCTAATTTTGTTAGAATATGAATAAATGGGCCTATGAATTTCAAGGTTGGGCTCAAAGGCTCAAAGATTTGGGCTCAAAGGTATCCTGATGTGTATTGAACTTAGATGCTGTCACCTTACAGTACTTTTTTTCTTTTCTTTTTATTAGTGAGACATATGAGGTACAGTTGTAGACTTACAAATTTTTCTGCTTGGGTTTCAATTACACAATGATCAAATGCCCATCGCTCCACCAGTGCCCACTTCCCACCACCATGGATCCCAGCGTCCCCCCCACCCCACATCCTCCCCATCCCACCCTGCCTCTGTGGCAGGGCATTCCCTTTTGTTCTCTCTTATTGGGTGTTGTGGTTTGCAAAAGAGGCAATGGGTGACAATAATGTGTGGTCTATAGTCTACTTTCAGCATGCTTCTCCCATCTTGGGAGGATCCTCCCAACAAGTGCTGGTGATTTCTTAACCTAAATGGACTGTAATTTTCTACCCACAGTATATATAATAAATGTCCTTATTCAATTCCACTTGTTATGCTACTCAAATACCCTTAATTGAAACACATCATTGGCTGATGAATAAAGCATCTGTCAAACTCAGTTCCTTTTACCATAGCAACCAAATTGCTATGCATTGCGTACCCCTGCCTCATCACCCAGCACTCTATTTCAGTCACTGAAGCTGAGTCCTGTTTCCCGAGTTTATTCTCCCACACAGTGGATTTGTCTGTTCTCATTTCACGGTGGAAAGATATCCTCCTCCCCACACACATAAGATCCTTCTAATCTCATTCTGTTTCTGGTTCTTCTGGTACTCATACAGACTTTACCACTTTAAAGGGGGTCCCTCAGTGCACTGCCTGTGAGTTAGGGTCCCTCTGTTGTGAAATCAGATATTTGGGTTTCTGTGTGTGTGATTTTTATTTTTCAATGAATGTTTAATCAAGTTTGATTATCTATATAGAAACATTATTCTTGATGTTGACAAGGAAAATGGACATTTCCTGCATGATTTAAATATAATCCCGTGAACGTTAAAAATATATGGGAAAGGTATGAAGTAATATAAATAGGATTAGGAGGAAATTTCTACTATATTTGATACATATTATACCTATCTATTTGCTTATATATGTCTGTCAGTAGATGTTTGCATAGAAAAAGAATCTTGAAATTAATTTTAAAATTCTAAACAGAAATGATCAAAACAATGTTTTCAAACAATAAATGCAACCAAGTACTACTTTTGAGTGGATAAATCAACATGAAAAAATAGGACACTGAGCAGAACTATGTGCAGAAACAAGAGTAATGTAGTTACATAAAGTAAAGTGATTATTTTAAACAAGTACTTCTTTTTTTTAAGTAAGAAAATTTAATATTATTTTAGAAAAAATTAAGAATTTAGAGATCACAACCAGGATGAGAAATATATTAAAACAAAAATTTAATGTTACAAGGAATACATCTATAAATTTATGTTTCTCGTTTAAAGACAAATAAACAAAAACAGATGTTAGGCTTTTTTTCTAGGTTTTTTAAATGCCAACTATATTGAGTTAACAAACTCTGAAGGGACCATATATTAAAGCATGACACCAGTAAGAGGGAGCAAACCTTTATACCTTGATACTTAGTGGGTATACAGTTGTTTACTTCAACTCATTACACTGAAAATGCATGTTCAGGATTTCATAATCAAGTTTTATCTCAATATACCCCATAGAGAAGTATGAAACATTAACTGAAACAGAAATAACATATGTCTAATTAACCAAACATAGACACACACAAAAACACATGTATTCAATTCTAAAGTTTGACACTTCTGGTCATTTCAATTCCCTTTATATGTTATTCTTTACCTCTCTTACATAGCATTCCCCTTGCTTGATTTCGTGGTTAACAGTATCCTAACCCATTCTACTATATTATAAAATGCTCTGAACTCTTGAGCATTTTTTATGGTTTAATGATTAATACATTCATAGCACTAGAATGTGGCTGAAACAATGAAGGAAATCTCTTAATATATCTTAATTTTGGGGTTTCTTTTTTGTTCCTCAAGAGGCACATAAAATTATTTACAGTCCTTCACCTAATTTATTGAAAACTCACTGGACATTGAAATTTAAGAAAAGATACTGCATACTTTTGTCCACGTCTTTTGCAGTGCACATTTTACATCCTTGTTCCTCAAGCTATAGATTAAGGGATTCAACATGGGGATAATGAGGGTGTAAAATATTGAAGCCATTTTATCAGTGTCAAAGGAGTGACTGGACTTGGGTTTCACATACATAAATATCAAAGTCCCATAAAACACAGTGACCACAGTCAAGTGGGATCCACAGGTGGAAAAAGCTTTGCGTCTCCCCTCAGCTGACTTCATCCTGAGGATGGCAATGAGGATGAGCAGATAAGATAAGACAACTACCAGAAGAGTGAAAATCAAATTAAAAGCAGATAAAGACATAATAATCAACTGTATTTCATAAGTATTTGAACAGAGCAAAGATAACAAGGGGAGGCTGTCACAGTAGAAATGACTGACAACGTTATAACCACAGAAGGTGGAATTGAAGATTTTTATAGTGACCAGAAGAGAAACACAGGTACTGTAGAGATAGGGGATTGCCACCAGCACCAGACACAGCCTTTGGGACATGATGACTGTGTAGAGCAGAGGTTTGCAGATGGCCACATAGCGGTCATAAGACATTGCTGCTAGGATAAAAAGTTCACTAATGATAAACATGACAAAGAAAGTCAACTGTGTGGCACATAACTGATATGAAATGGAATTTTTATCTACAAGGAAATTTACCAACATTTTGGGTCCCACAGCGGTGGAATAGCCGAGATCCGTGAGCGCGAGGTGTCTGAGAAAGAAGTACATGGGTGTTTGCAGCCTCGGGTCCATCTTGGTGAGGATGACCATGCCCAGATTGCCCACCAGTGAGATCATGTAGATGATGAGGAAGAGCACAAACAAGGGAGCTTGAAGCTCCGGACGGTCTGTGATTCCCAGGAGGATGAATTCCTTCAGCCCGGTGAGATTACGTCTGTCCATCCAGGTTTATGGAAAAAAAAAATCTGAAAGGAGACATCAGCACAGAGAACAGGTATCATAGAGTAAAATCTCTTGCTTTATTTTGAACATAAAGTTTGTATGAATTAAAGGAAACTAAATTGTGATTTAGACTCTGTGAACATGTTTTGCTGCATTTAATGGAACATGTAAAACTTGAAACAGAGACACAAATCAAAGTCAAGTTGGAGACAGCAGTCGATTGTGGTTTTCTGGTTGAAATCCAGTCTCCAAAGAACATTTGCTAGTGTTCTGAAATATTTCGGTGTCACAATTAGAGAAGAGGCACACTTATTATCTGATTAACATCGCAAGATTGCTACCTGCTTTGTTATACAAAGGAGACCTATGATACAAACAATAAACAGGAAAAATGCCAACACTCTAAGTCTGACTTGCCTATAGATACAGATGATAAAGGATAGAGGATAAAGGTAGCAATATAGACAGATACATCATATAGATACATAATTAAAATTAAAAGTTTTTGGACTTAAATATTCACTTTTCTATTTTTCTGTTACAGTTTAATATTTCTATTTATAAAATTTCAGTAACAACAGATTTGTTAATTGCATGGAATTTTAGAATTGCAATTTCAGCTATGTATTGAATGTTTTGGATGTCCCTATTTAAAATTAATTCATATATAAACCTTTTGTCTATACATGTTGAAGATTTAAATAAGACATGCGACCAAATTTATATAGAACTATAAAAATAAGGAAGTCTAATAGGTAAGCATGATTTGTCTTGAAGTATGCAGACTATATATAATGAATATTATTATATATTTATCAAGACGACTAATGCTTACACACAGCTTAGATAAATTATACACACACTGTAGCACTGTAGCACTGTCCTGTTGTTCATCAATTTGCTCGAGCAGGCACCAGTAACATCTCTATTGTGAGATTTGTTGTTACTGTTTTTGGCATATCGAATATGTCATGGGTAGCTCACACAGTCTAAATAAGCTACACAGACAATTTTATGTATAAATTTCTTTGTATAATATGTTTGATTCCAATGTCGCAATTTAAGCTTAGCTGCATACTAAGATTTCTAGTTTTCAGTGAATTTCAATTTACTATGAAATTTTATTTAATATAAAACACATCCATATGGTGAATTAAAGCCACACATAATATATCTAATGTTAATCATGTGTGGACAACACATAATATATCTAATGTTAATTATGTGTGATAGACAACAAAGTAGAATGAAGATGCTAGTATATGGTCCAACACTTACTGATTTGAAAATACCCTATATTGATTCTACTTTCAAGTAAGTAAATAAAAATACAATATTCGTGGTGACAAGGCAAGTAATTTTTAAGTGCCAAGAAAGTGCCAAAAAAGCAAACAGAAAAATGCAGCACCTCTAAAATTAAATAAATTATTGTGTTTACAGGAAATACATGTTTCAATTTGTAAACACTTGTTTTTAAGATTATGAACTTCTGGTGCAATATTCTTCTTATGGCAGATATACGGAACTAAAAATAAAAACAACAATTTAAAGGACTGGAATAAGAAAAATCATGTTTAGATGCAGAAAAAATTACATTATTATATGTTGATTTTCTTGTGCTAAAGGGATTTTTCTCACTAGCTTTTAACCCCATTTAAATAATTTCTTTGTTTTTCATATTTATTAATTATAGATTTTCACATATCAAAGGTATAAATCCTCTCACTCCTTATCAAGAGATAAAAACAGAGACAAATATATACAGATTAAATTTTATTTAATTATTAAGAATAACCTCTTAAGATTTGGAAAGATCAATTTGTAGCTAATACCTACTGCTTCAGTATTCTGCCATAATTTTTATTCCATACACTTTATTTAGAGTTTGTCTTTCCCAGAAAAATATCCCATGAACTGCATATACATCTCTTGATATATTATCTGACCAACTGATTTTGGTATGTATATTTCACAGGAATGTATACACATAGATTCTAAGTAATATGCGCTAACCTTTTAAAGAAGCTTTTTTACATTCATAAGCTTATTTGAAAAAAATCATCTAAAGTAGACAAGAGAAGTTCTATTTTGGTCATTATTTCTTCTTTGTAGAAGTCACACAGAAGTAAATAATAAATTCCAATATATGTTCTATGCTTTGCCATGGAACAAAAATGTATAGCAAATGCCACCCAAATTACTTAGGTATTAGTTGAATATGACATACATAAAAGATGCTGTCTGTTTACCTCTGAAGAAACCTTGCAGTGTGCTGAATGAAACATGAACAGGAGAACAATTTATAAATTTTTTTCATCCTTTGCTTCTCTCCCTAAGGATATGACAGGCAATTTCTTGATTTTCCCTGAAGCATTTGAAAGCTAAACAATTTGAGATGAACTATTTATTATCTAGATTAATTTATATTCATCTGTAAGTTATATTTATTTATTATATTTATACATTTTTGTGCTTGATCAATGATCTTTATGCCCCAATTTGATGGCTTTATAATTTAATGTCCATTGGGCTGACTATGGGCATAATAGTTTGGTAAAACAGTCTGAATCATCACTTTTTATACCTGTGGAGCAGCACATGTCTAAAGACTAGTGTATTGACCTGTAATTAACCTTATAGGTAGGTGGTTTACAACTTTTCTAAACCTATGGGTTGGTACTCATCAACAGATTAAAGTTGAGAAGCACTGGTTTAAATGTTACTGTGAAGATACAATTGGCGTCCTGTATAATGTGTCCATGAGTGCACTGTAGCACTGTAGCACTGTCCTCCTGTTGTTCATCAATTTGCTCTAGCGTACCCAGTATCGTCTATATTGTGAGACTTGTTGTCACTGTGTTTTGCATATCGATTACATCATGGATAGCTTGCCAGGCTTTGCCCTGTAGGCAAGATACTCTCTGTAGCTTGCTGGGCTCTCCAAGAGGGGCGGAGGAATCGAACTTGGGTCGGCCGGGTGGGCTGTGTGCAAGCAAATGCGTGTCACTGTGCTATTACTTTCCAAAATGTGTACAGAACTCCTTCAATCAGTTGAAAGCTTTTACAATCAAGACTGAAATATAGTTTTTAGTTTCCTGCCTTTGTATCCAATAATTCTTTATTAACTATTCCTTTTTTTCTAAAGGTTTTTTTTTTTTTATTGATTCACTGAAATAGACCCTTACAAAGCTGTGTGTGATTAGGTTCCAGTCATACAGTTTTCCAACACCCATCTCTCCACCAGTGTACATTTCCTAGCACCGGTGTCCCCAGTTTCCCTCCCATCACCCCCTCTCTCCAGCTTGCCTCTATGGCATGCACTTTCTCTATATCTGTCTGTCTGTCTCTGTCTCTCTGTCTGTCTGTCTCTGTCTTCGTGTCTCTGTCTCTGTCTGTCTGTCTCTGTCTGTCTGTCTCTGTCTCTGTCTCTCTCTCTCTTTTCCTTTTGGGCATTGTAGTTTGGAATTTATCTACTATTATTACACTTAGAGTTGCCTGTAGGTATAGGGGCTAAGACACTTGTTTTATCTGTGGCCATTTCAATCCAATCTTTGGCACTACATACGGTCTTCTGAACATGCCAGGGGTCACTCCTTCCACAGATTCAGAAATAATTCTTGAGCACTGCAGGGTGTGAGTCCCAAGACAATGAAAAAAACTTCTTATTCTTTATATCTGTTTACTTTATCTCTTTTAGTTATTTTTCTCTCTTGCTATTGGATGGTGACTTCCTGTGTGTGTTCATGGGTCTTTGAAATAGTCACTGAAGACCCAAAATTAATGCAAGACCCCACCATTGTTCTGCTTCTCATGTCCCGTACAGCCAGAGACTATTTGGCCCAGGGGAAGAGATAATGGAAGTCTCCAAGAGCATATGCTTTTCACTCTATGCGTTTCAGTGTGTGTGTGTGTGTGTGTGTGTGTGTGTGTGTGTATGTATGTTTGTGTGTGTGTATGTTTCAGTTTTGATACATTCTTCTGGTACACCTATTGGTTTAAAAATTGTCATTTTTCTGAAATACCTATTCTGCTATTTTTATAATACCTTCCATTTTAAGCTTGACATGGTATAATTTTCTATAAAAGTCCAAGTTTTAAAAGCAAGAGATTCACTTGCAATAGCATTTTCCAGGGAGTGCTTCTTTTCATATTTTGAACACATCAGTTTGGGTTGACTGGTTATTTTCTGTATGATGGATCCTGTTTTCCTGCTTCTTTATATGCCAGATACATTTAAATATATACCATACACTTTGTATTTTCCTTGTTGGGTCCTGGGCAATTTTGTATCTTACAAATGTTTTTGAACTTTGTTTTAAGATCTAGATACTTTGAAATATGTTGAATTTCAGAACATTCATTGCCTTTACAATTTCCATGGTGAGTCCAAAACAGTGTTCTGTTTGGGTTCATTTCCTATGCTAAAATAAGATTTTCTTGACTAACTAAGCGTCCATGAAATGAATTTCCCTACTCCCTATGTAGAAAAATTTATGAACAGCGCTGCTTTTCATCTTTTCAGATGTTACTTCTTTATCTGGGTGTTTTTATTCATGTGGTTATCAGTCATCTGTTGAATAATGGAGAGTAATTTTTTGCAGGTATTTATTGTCCTTTCTTTCTCTATGTAAGTCCTTATTTTGGAGTTTCTGTTTTGCAAACTCCACTAATTTGATTTCAGCTGGATAAACAACTTAGTCATTTATTTATTTATTTATTTATATATTTATTGAATCACTGTGGGAAAATTTACAAAGCTTTCAGGTTTAAATCTCAGTCATGCAATGATCAAACACATTTCCCTTCACCAGTACTTATTTTTCACCACCAAGAACCCCAATATACCCCCCTTCCTACCCCTCCCAATGCCTGTGAGGCAGATGAATTCCACTTAACACTCTATCTACTTTGAATATTCATTATTTCGACAAAAGATGCACCATTATTTTTTAGAGTTTACACTCAACAATCAGACACCCCTTCCCTCCCGGGAAGGCATG